CTCAATCGAGGTTCCCTATTCCCAGATGACCCTAGCTAGCATCACATTGACCAAAAATAAAAAATAAAAATAAACTAACCAGCATGGGGCCCCAGCTTAGACAGCAGCTTCCTTGGGAAGCCTCCTCTGAGTGTCCCCAGTGTTCCCAGTAACCTGTGCTTGCCTCTCTCCTAATAACCTGGAGGCTTTGTGAGGGCAGGAGCCACTAGGGAACGGACAGCCATTTCCAGAAGCAGGATCAAAGGAGCGTGATATAAAAACTGTCATTCTTGAGGCCCTTGATCCCTCTTTACCCTGACACAGCATCCCACATGCACCTGGGACTAACAGCCAGTGAGGGAACAAATGATGGTGTGAACGTCAGAGGGTCAGGGAGAGAAAAGAATCTGGAATGGGCTGCCCCAGTACTATAGAGGTGGTCCTGAAGGAGCGAGCCCTTGCCCCAAAGTCTGGACACTTCAGCCTCATCCCTGGTCCCTTTCCTGTCCCATGCCAACCAGAGGAAGGTAAGCTTGGCGTGGTGGGGCACAAAGCCAGCCTTGGCTACATAGTGAGTTACAGGCTATATAAGACACTGGAGAGAGAGAGACAGAGACAGAGACAGAGAGAGAAAGGAAAAGGGGGTGTTCCAGAGGCTACCTCAGACCACACAGCAAACTGCACCAAGCTTGCCCACTTGCTCTAGCCATAAACAGAGCCTAAGCCCCTACAAGATGCCCCTGTAGCCCCCTTCTTTGGAGAAGCAGGTGGAGGAGTCACCTCCTCCCCATTCCTGCCACTTAGAGGCCCTCCAGAAGCTTCGGGAGTCTACGGCCCCCCTGCTCCCACTTGCCAGCTCTCTGTGCCTCTGGGCAGCGAAGCTCTGCTGGGGAGGTGAGCGTGGGAGGTTGGCACCAGGGAGGTTGCAGGTTGGAAGTCAAATTCTAATCAAACCCAGAATCCCTCCCGTCTTCTCCCTCTGCTCCGAGGAAGGTGTTTCTGGCTGGGTTATTACTCATTTGTTCTCAGAGAACTCTCTGTGGCTTTGGAGCTGAGAGGAACTTGTAAGATTGGGAGGAAAGAAATCTCTCCCCGCTGCCCCCCCCCCCCCAGGCTGCTTCTTGCTCTTATTATTGCCTCTCTCTGTCTCTCATCACGGCAGGACCTTTGAGGAGAACCAAGTGCATCTGGCCCATCGTAAAGGCACAAGTTGCTGGAGGGGCCAAGCTGTCAGAAGCCCCAAGGCTGGGAACAGTTTGGGGGGGGGGCAGTGCCATCAGCCTGGATATTGGAGAAATTACAGACGATGGATTCTCACTGCACAGAGGGCAGAGGCCACAGCGGGTGGGACAGGCTTTCTCAGAAGCAGATATCAAAGGAGTTTAAGACTAAAACTGTCTCTTTGCTGTTTGGTTTTGAAACAGAGTCTTACATGTTACCCAGGCGGCTAGCCTAGAGCTCACTACATATCTGAGCATGACCTTGAACTCCTGATCCCCCTGCCTCCATCCCCATTAAGTGTTGAAATTACAGGCATGCATTACTATCCTTGGGTTATGTAGTGTTGGGAATTGAACCCTAAGTTTCGTGCATGCTGTAGACAAGCACTCTACCAACTGAGCTGTATCCCTAGCCCCTCCCCCAAGCTGAGAGGTCCTTTGATTTCCTCTCTTCATAGATCTACCTCAATCTGAGTCACCTTTGAAGTGACTCACATCACCTTTGAAGTGCCCACATCTGGGCACCCTGTTTCCAGTCTCCCCCTAGCACCCTCTGCTCTACCCAGTAGCACAGATGAACTTCAGAAATATGGTACTGCAGCCAGCCTGCGGTGAACTCACCCCGCTACAGCCAGAACTGAATCCAACTCCCTGGACTGGCCTGTGAGATGCTGCCTGCTAGGCTCCCGTTGCCCACTCAGATTCCCTTTCTGTCTTCGCCTAAGTCCAAGCCCCAGCCGCCGCCGCCGCCACCCAGTTCCTTCTGGTCCCCAAAACACGCCAACTCTCTTCCCAAGGTCTTGTTGCAAAAGCCACTTCCAAAAGGGGCTTTCCCTGGCCACCTGTTCTAAAGTAACACCCACCCCTGTCGCCACAGGCCACGTGACCCATCCCCCCAACTCTGGGCTGGAATTGCGCAGCAATCCGAGAGTGTAGTAAACTAACAGAGCTGGAATCACATTCCCCAAATACTCTTCCCTGGGTGGTGCTGGGGCGGCTCGGGCTGGAGGGAGAGGGTGCAGCAAGATGCATTTGTGTGAGATTAGGAAGGAAAGGGAAGCCGCAACTGCTGTGTGTTTGCACATAGGGCCCTCATCACTGCCCTGCTGGCCCATCTTGGTGGTGACAGGCGAATGCCCCCTCCCCCGCATCAGCGATCTTTCCTTTCCATTTCTCCAGCCCGGGGTGAGAATGTGGAGCTCTGTGATGAAGGGCGCGCCAGCCTCTCCAGCAGGTCGCCCTGGGCATCGAGGTCGGAGGTCATGTGCAGGAGGTTCTCGTTAGTTGTTGGGGAGCTTTTGTCTGTGTGACTCAGACCTAGAAATACCTGGGAAGAAGAAACCTGGATTGCCTCCCTCAGATTGGCCTGTGTCCATATGTGTGTGATGTGGAAGGGCCCAGACCACTGTGGGCGGTACCATCCCTAGGCAAGCGGACCTGTGGCCTTTGCTTCAGTTCCTGCCTCCAGGCTCCTCCCTTGATTTCCTGCCTTGGCTTCTGATGACAGATTGTGAGCCAAATACCGCCCCGCGCGCGCGCGCGCGCGCGCGCGCACACACACACACACACACACACACACACACACACACACACACACGTCGCTTTGGGTCAGGGTTTATCACAGCAACAGAGAAGCAAACTAGAGGCCCATTTTTCCTTCTCCTCCCACACCCAACTTTCCTTCCCTGATGAACTGCACCTACCCCGCCCCAACCCCAGACACAGAGGCAGCAGCCTGCATAGCCTCCCACCAGTTGCACACTTCAGTCAGCCCATAGAAAAGCCCTGATCCTGCCCCACCTGTGGTGACACCACAGGGCAGATGGAGGCCAGAGACACTGCCTCCACCTCAGCCCTCAGCAGAGCCCCGCCTTTCTAGCTAGCACACTCATGGTACTCCTGATGACAAAGGTCCCAGCTGCCCTTCCCCAGTACTCCAAACAGCATCTGGCACACAGTTGGGTGCTCAATAGTTATGAGTACTATTAGCTGGCACTCTGCTGACTAAGGAGCCACTCGGGAAGAAAAAGATCAATCTCCTACAGGCTGTGTACTTGCCTGGTAGGTACACAGCCCCCAAGGAAATCCACTCCTACCTGCTTCAAACGGCATCCTTCCCAAAGCAGTTCCCCAAGCTGGCCCTAGCTCATGAGCATCCCTTCCTCTCACTGGCCATCCCCTCCAAAGAACGCCTATGGTTCCTGTGCCCCCTGCTCCTTCCTCCCTAGGATCTGGTTTCTGCTTTGTGGAGAGAGTCAGCCATGACCAAGGTCACCCGTACTCAGCTGCGGGTCCCCAATCTCCTCTTCTTCGCCTACTGCAGCCCCCTTTCCCTCCTCTCCAGTGTGGACCTCTTCTGACTCCCAGTCTTTCCTCTGAGTTTTGAGTTTCGCTTTTCAGGACACTTGAGGCGGTACCCAGAGCCTAGATGGGCCAGGCATGCACTCTACCACTGAGCCACACACCCAGCCCCAAGTCTTTCCTCTGATTTTTTCCCCCAGGTTTCGCCTTCCAGTCCTACCCTACACAGTAGCCCCCCCACCCATTACCTGATCCATCACCTACAAAGTCATAACTTCAAAATGAACCCCAGTTTCTTCTGCAGCTCTCCAGAGTCCCCCCACTCCAACAGCCCAAGAAGGTTGGGACCCGTTGACGTCCTGGGGCACAGATGCAACAAGCGGGGATGCACTTTGTAAGCAGATACTCTTGCCACCAAGCTCCACTCCTTACCCTGTTGCTGATCTAAGCCTGTTGAGGCTGTGGGAAGACCTGTGGGTGAGGAGAACCTAGAGCCTCGGTCACTGGTAACACCCATTGCACATCGGACTTAGACATGGGAGGAGCCAAAGGCCTGCTGAGTGAGTGTATGTGTGAATGAGTGCACAAGAGGTAAGGAAAGTTCATCTTTTTCTGCATATTCCAAGTTGCAGGAAGCAGGCTGGGGAGGCCAAAGCACACCTGCAGGGTGGGAACACTACGATCTCACAAGTACATTACCAAATTCCTTGGGGGAAGAAGGAAGGGGTATTTGGCAGTGGTGATGGATCAGCGTGGATGAAATCTTAGAATACCTCCCTATAAGGTCCTCGATAATTAGACCCAGGGGAGGACAACCAAAGGCCAATCAATCTTAGGCCACTGTGGTAGTATGCTGTGTCCCCTAGACACCTGTCACAGCCCAGGGCCGCAGCTGCTTCCTCAGTCACCTGGGTCTCTGCCTCTGTAAAAGAGGACATCTGGTGGCCAGCACTTAGTGTTCCTGGGGTGACTCTGATATGCACCTGGTGCTTGGTAGATTCAGGTAACCCTTCTGCTGCCCTGCATGAAGGCACCCCATCTCTACCCAGCTGATGAGGACAGGAAGTTCAGAAACTGCTAAAGGCTAGACCAAGAACGTGGAACCAGCAAGAGCTTTGCTGAGATCCGAACCAGGCCTGTCCAACTGGAACCTGGCTCTATCCTCCCCTTTCCCACCCCCTCCCTCCTCCCCAGCATGATACTTAAATTTTTAAATTTTTTGGTATGGTTACATCATTTTTTATTAAAAGCATATCTATGAATTCTAATGGGACACCAGCTTAGAATAATGTTATTTTCATGACCCATCACTACCACAGGAGTCTGTTGGGGTGCTGTGCAGACATAAAGAAAGCTGGGGGTCCACACAGGCTGCTTTCCTGGATCCCAGTGGTACCACAGGATGTTGTTGGTCTTGACGTACACTTTGGCCCACTTGCCTTTACATTTCAATCATACTATATAGTGTTCAGTATTTACGTACCTTTGAACAGAAAAGACGTGTTACGAGGTTAACATTTGTTGAGCTATGTGTCAGAAAAACACTCTGTATTTCGATTCTCTTTATGTCATTAGCTACTTTTGAGAACGGTTCCATATAAATACATAAGCTGGAACATATATTTAGAAAACCTTAATCTATGTAAACTGCACTGTATCCACCCATAACAAATCATCTAAGCCCCGTTCCCTCTAATGTTAAACAACAAAAAAGTAGCTAGCCATTACACTTATAGTAGGTTCCAGACAATATCTAAGGTGGCCATTGGCATTCTGGGCCAGAGGGGTTCTATGTCTACTTCTGTCATTCTGGGATTTGTTCCTTTCTGTCAAAGTGTTCCCACACATTTGGCAAGAGCATTTGCATTAAACTTCAAGTTACTTCTGGTTATATCCAGAATATGTTTTTAAAAGCCTCTAAAAGGAGTTTGTTTTCCTACAATTATGCCAACATTTGGCCATGTTAGTAATTACTGAAATAACAGTGGAGACTCTGAGGACAGGCAGGTACCCTGTGTGAACTTGTACAGGTCCAAGCATCAGGTGCCCTGGGTGAACGTGTACAGGCCCAAGGATCAGGCCAAGGGGCTCAATGACTCATGAACACTTAGTTCTTCCTGGTTTTCTTCAGATAGTGATTCTGCAAGGACTCGCTATCGACTGGGTGTCAGATCCCCAGGTGATGGAGTTACATGTGGTTGGTTGTAAGCTACCCAGTGTAGGTTCTGGGAATCGAACTTGGGTTCTCTGGAAGAGGAGCAAGTACTTTTAACCACTGAAACAATCATACAGCCCCACATGATACTTTGTACAGAAAGCTCCTGCAGCTATCTGTGAGATTTCTGATGGGTATGTAATCCCTCCTCTCTGTGTCCAGAGTGTCCAGAACCTGTCCTGTGAGTTCACTGTCTGGTTGAACATATTGAAACCCATGGTTATTTTTTTAAAAATCCAATGAGGCAAGATTGAGTTCATTGAACCCATGAGTGTATGGATCACATACCCAATGGTTTGGGACTGCAAACCTACTGTTTTAATTGCAGACTTCACAAAAATCTCTGCAGAGGGCTTATCCAAAGTCAGCTTGCTTATTTTTACCTGTTTTGTAGCTACAAAGTATGGCAGGACACTCTGCACAAAGATACCCTTGTTCTTATACTCCTCACGGAGGCACTGAGAGAAGAAATCTACAAAAGTCTCAGTTGTAGAGTAGGAAGAGGATGCGGGAGCATGCCACTGGCAGATGAGATGTTGAGAATCGCCCCTTTAGATCTTTCTATCATGCACGACAGCACCAAGGATGTCACCTTGCAAACAGAAAGAACATTAATATTCATCAGTTTCCTGATGGTATTGCAAAGTCAGGAATTTCCAAAAAGTATTCCAGATACTCGTATGATATCCCCATGTTGTTCACTAAAACACCGATTTCAAGACCGGCCATGCCTGTCTTAATTTTATCATAAATATCATCCAATGTAAAGTCAACAGCAATGGTCCTTGTTTCTACTTTGAATTTACCTTTGATTGCGCTGGAAACCTGATTCAGTTTATCCTGGGACCTGCTGATTAGGACAACCTTCATTCCACGCTTTGCTAACTCTTCTGCAAGTTATTTTCCAATCCCATCAGTGCCATCTGTAACAACTGCCTATTCTCTGAGCTGCGGGCCAGCCCAGGCCTCGTTGCCCACGCACCACACCTGGAAGGCCCTGAAAGAGCGAGTATGAAGCCCGAGGGGCCAGGTAGGCCATGGTGCTGGCACCCACCCAGTATAGGAAGCCAGCAACCCGGCCACTGGAAGAGCACTAAATTTTTAAATTTTATCTATAGTTGTGTATATGTGTCTGTATGCATGTATTCTCAGGCATGTGTGGGTAATTCTCAGAGGCCAGAAGAGGGTGTCAGATCTCCAGGTGATAGAGTTGCATGTGGTTGGTTGTAAGCTACCCAGCGTAGGTTCTGGGAACCGAACTTGGGTCCTCTGGAAGAGGAGCAAGTGCTTTTAACCACTGAACCAATCATACAGCCCCACATGATACTTTGTACAGAAAGCTCCTGATGGGTATGTAATCCCTCCTCTCTGTGTCCAGAGTGTACAGAACTTGTTCTATGAGTTCAGTGTCTGGTCACCTGCCTGCTTCTCAGACCAGAGGTGACTCAAAGATCAGACAATATAGCCCTAGAGGCTACTTATGTACCAACAGATTACTGTTGACAGTGGATGGGTGGATGGATGGATGGATGGATGGATGGATGGATGGATGGATGGATGGATGGATGCATCTATGGATAGATGAATATATATATGGACAAATTCATGACTGTAACCATGTATACATGGAAAATGAATGGGTCAGTAGGTGGATGGATTCATTGGCAGATGGATGAGTGAATGGATTCACGGATGGATTGATACATGGATGGGTCAATGGGGGAATGCATACATACAATGCAAGAAAATGGATGTATACATGTATGCATGGGTGGATAGATAGATGGATGAACGAAAAATTAGGAAAGGGGTACCCAGCCATGGTGCACAAATCTGTAACCCTAGCTAACTCAAGAGTCAGGGCCAGTATTGTGCACAGGAGTTCAAAGCCAGCCTGGGCTACAAGGCAAATATCTTGTTTCCAAACAAAACAAGATTAAAAAAAAAAAAACCCTTAAAGGAGGGAGACAGACTGTGGTTAGACCTTAACAATAACTGTCATTATGGCCATTTAAAGTGATATCTCAAGACAGGTGATGAAAACCGATGCAGACCCCTTGCCCAGGGGCCACCAAAAGCCTCAGAAATCACAGAAGCCCCAGGGAAAAAAAAGGATCTAAAGGGGCAGGGCTAGAGAGAGGGCTTGAGTTAAGAGTTAAGAGCACTTGCTGCTGTTCCAGAGTACTGGAGTTCAATTCCCAGCACCCAGGTCACGTGGCTCGCAACTGCCTGCAACTCAGGCTCCTGGCCATCTCAAGTACCTGCTCCGGGCAACCTAGGGTACCTGCTCTCGTGGGCACATGCCCACATGCAGATACACACACCTACATATAACTTAATAAAAATAAATCCTTTACAAACAATCAATCTGAAAGGATCAAATGGCATTAACGCCTTGGAGGTGAGGCCCGCCTGCCAGCATCTCTGCCCTTACCTCAACCCGGACCCCACCCCCCAGGACAGACTCAGATGCACTGGCTGCAAGGGACAAAATTCCAGTTGGACTTGATGAGGCGTCATTACATGCCTACTATGTGCTTGGCACAGCCATTTTCTGGCCAGCTGACCAGCTGGCTGGCTTTCACCGGCAGGCTGGCAGCCTGACAAGCCAACTGAGGAAGTCGGAACTGCTGCCACAGCAGTTGGCGTTTCCTTCTCTGTCAATGCCCTTGTCTCCCTGGATCCTGGAAGTGTGATGACAGCAGTGGTCAGAGTGATTTAGTTTCATTTCTGATGTGGCCCGCCTGGGGACCTGTCATCGTCATCAGGTGGTGACAGTTTATGGCTGTGGGTATTTAAACAGCTTGGCTATTTGTTTCAATAGGCATCATATAAAATTATTAAAGTAGCAGATGAAAGATGGAAGGCACAGCCTGGACTGTTTAAAGAAAGATTACCCATGAGCCATCATTCTGAGAAAGGAAAACATTGGCAGGGTGTGTCCCCAGGGAGTCCAGGTGGTAATTGTGGAGGTACATCCCCTCAAGTCCAAACAAAGGGTACCCCGAGTCTGCGTTCCAGCTACTGTTGTTTGGGGGCAAATAAAGTTTATTCTTCCTGATAATAAAGGCAATACACCTTCACTGTAGAATATCTACAGGACAGCCAGGGCTATACAGAGAAACCCTGTCTCGAAAAAACAAGAAACAAATATCTAGAGGGCTATGATGTAACTCAGCACAGAGAACTTGTTCAGTGTGTGTGAGACCCTGGGTTCCACCCCAGCACTCCAAAAAATAAAATACTTAGGCTGGGGGAGAGATCAAACTGGTTATTGTGGTACACATACGTGGTGATATATTGTGTACCCTAATAAACTTGCCTGAGGATCAGAGGACAGAGCCAGCCACTAGTTTAGACATAGACAGGCAGTGGTGACACACACCTTTAATCCTATTACTTGGGAAGCAGAGATCCATCTGGATCTCTGTGAGTTCAAGGCCATCCTGGGCTACATGAGATTGGTCCAGTATAGGAGAGAAACAGAGCCAGGCAGTGGTGACACACACCTTTAATCCCAGCACTTGAGATCTCATGCCTTTGCTTGGGAAGCACACACACAACTTTTAATCCCAAGAAGTAATACGGCAGGGCAGAGAAAGGTGTATAAGGTGTGAGGAAACAGGAACTCACTCTCTTTAGGCTGAGGATCTCATAGAGGTAAGAACCAGTGGCTGGATGTTCCACTTCTCTGATCTTTGAGCTTTCACCCTGATATCTGGCTCTGGGTTTTTTTTTTTTTTATTAAAAGACCATCTAAGATTTGAACAGCACACATATGTAGTCCAGCATTCGGGAAGTAGGGGGCAAGAAGGTTAAAAATCCCAGGCAAGGGTCAATGAGATGGCTCAGAGGGTATGGGTGCTCGTCACTAACCTGAGTTAGGTCCCCAGAACCCACCTGGTGGAGGGAGAGAACTGACTCCTGAAAGTCATCTTCTGACCTCCACACATACACAATGGCACAAGCACACACACTGAATCAGTCAGTCAGTCAATGAACGGATAGTATCCGCTGAAACATTTGCTCAGTCCCATCTAGCCGTGAGATGTCTTTACGGCTGAGTTCATCACAATAAAGTGAATTTATTAAAATAAATAAATGAATAAAAGTTGCAGGCCAGCTGGGCAACGCAGAGATTTCCAAACCAACCTTGAGTATAAAACTGTCTCAACATAATCCCAGCACTTGAGAGGCAGAGGCAGGAGGATTTCTATGAGTTCATGACCAGCATGGTCTACATAGAGAGTTCCAGGACTGCCAGGTCTACATAGTGAGACCCTGTCTCAAAAAAAAGAGAGAGAGAACAAAAACTATATATTAGCCCATACCCCAGAGAAAATATGGTGGACATTTTCTTCCACCTCTTTATTTCTTCTTATAGAGATTTGTTATAACAAATATGACAAAAGCCACTTACAATAACTGAATCTTAGCATGTGGTGCGAACTATTTTACATACCCTGACAAACAGTAACCCACTGCATCTTCTCAATGCTGCCCTTGAACGGTGCCTTTATGTCGGCCTCCTGTACATGAAGACAGAGACACAGAGAGGCTCAGTTGTCCAAGTCCACAGTGAGCAAGCGGCAGAACTACAACTCAAGCCACCTCAGTCACTGTCTGTACCATCACAGACGCCATCTACATTTTCCTTGTTGTCCTGTGCATATGACATCTGTAGTTTATCAACAAGTTTTTTACTTCATTTATTTTATTTCCTCACACTGGAGGTGGAACCTAGACACCCCCCCCCACACACACACACACACACATACATCCTTAGTAAGTGTTCTTGCACTGATTTACAACCTCAATTCTTGAAATGTCATTTTTGAGGCAGGATCACATGTAGCCCAGGCTGTCCTCTAACTCATGAAGTAACTGAGGATGGCTTTGAACGCCTGACCTTCCAGCCTCCACCTCCCAAGTGCTGAGATTGTAAGGGTGCACTACATCTGGCTCTTGAGTATTATTTTGTGATTGTTGCCAATAATTCCGAGTGGATGAACTAGTTCACTTGGTCATTCATCCCCTCGTTCTGGGTTTTTCCCTGGTTTTTGGGATTCTGTGCCCTGCACAGCACGGTGACTGAAGTGTCACAGAAGAAAGGCCCCTGGCTCTAGGCTCGTGCTCCTGAGAACACGCCCACCCTGGGCACCGGCAGGCAGAGCTGGCCCAGCTCCCTCCTGAGCCCTGAAAGCAACAACTCCTGGCCTCCTCCCCACCCCATCCCCCGTGAAACAGCAAGCCTGGGATCAGAGCTCTGCAGAGACTCCCACTTGGAACTAAATATATTACAAGCATATCCCCACCCACTTCCAGGGAGACGATGTGGGCGGTCAGCCTGTGTGGCAGGGGGCGAGGACCTGACCCCCTCACCACACCTGCCTGCCTCAAACCATGCTTCTGCTGTGGGCATCAGATGACAGCCATCTAAGAGGCCTTTGAAGCTGGAAAAGGACATATGCAAGAGGTTGTTGTTGTTACAACATGAACTCAACAGGGTTCCCTGGGGAACTGCTATGTGCCTGACATTTGTGCAAAGCCCTGAGGAGATGGAGACAAGCAAGGGAGAGTCCAGCAACTGCCCCAAAGGGAAATATGGGCTGAGAGAGGAGGACAGACCAGCAGTGATGCACACCAACCCACGATGGGTTCACAGGACAGGGAAGCAATGGGATTCGGGAGCCTAAGGAAGGGAGGAGGGTACTCCTGGAAGGCTTCCTGGAGGCCGAGCTGTCTCAGCTGACACCTGTCCTTGATCTTAGCCAAGTCATTCAACTGAGCCATGGAGGCCAAACAGGATTTAACTGAATAGTAAGGGCAGGAAACGAGACATAGGTAGGACATTCTAGAAAGAATAGTGAAGCCTGAGTGTTGTGGACTCAATGAGAAGTGGAGGGAGATGAGGAAGACAGTTGTGCGAGGGACATTATTCCTGAAATGAATGTCTGCTTACCCCGGATAGGGAATCAAAGTCAGACTCAAGTAAGGATCCAGTGAGTTTTGTTGGGGTTACTTAAATGAGTATAGGAGAGGAGTTACAAGAACAGAAATGACACAGACAGCTGCATCACCAAAGACACCCCCCCCCAGCATGAATGACAGCTCCCGAAACCTAACACTCTGAAGCTCAGTGCTCGACTTATGATTCACAGGTTGGAGAGTGTCTCTTCCAGGTAGCTCAGCTTGTCTGAAAGTGTCTCTCATCGGTCCTTACATTATATAAGATTGGGGGTGGAGAAACCAGTACATCTGATCAGTTTCAGGGACTTCCTGGGGCTTCTTGGTTGTTTTCTTCATTAAACTGCTTTCTTTTTTAAAAGGATTTTATTTTAATTATATGTGTGTGTGGATAAGTGTGAGTTTGTGCAGGTGCCAGAGGCACAGGACCCATCAGAGCTGAAGTTACAGGGGGTTGTGAGCCACTCCTTGTGAGTGCTCAGAATCAAATTTAAGTAGTCCTCTGGGAAGAGCAATATGTGCTCTTACTATGAAGCCAGCTCTCCAGCCTGACTTCCTGAGCCTTAACATGCTTGAATCTTAACAAGTCTCCCTATGGGATGCAATATTCCGTCTTGCAGGAGATTACCACACACTAGCGAGGACCACACCTTCCCCATTGTCCCATTAACTGTGAGGGAAGCCTGGAAAAAGCACCACACACTCCCTCCCCAGGCATTGTCATTTTGTGGCCCAGGTAGCCCAATGCAATGAAAAGGTATGCTGGACATCAGGGCCCTGGTTCATGGGATAGCCAAGAAGTCTTAGGGGGATCCTGCCTGGCCCAAGCTTCTACCTGCTCTTGGTGTCCATCCTCTAACATCCCCTGTGATGGTTGGTATTGTCAACCTGACAGAACCTAGAATCCCCTGAAAAATGGGCCTCTTGGGTACACCCAGGGGGGTGTCTTGATTGTGTTAATTGAGTTAGGAAGACCTGTCCACTGTGGGCGGCATCATTCCCTTGCTAGGATCCTGGACTTGACATGTGAAGAAGGAGTAGAACAACAGCATGCATTCTGCCCTTTCTGCTTCCTGCCTATGGGTGTGACCGCCTGTTCAAGCTCCTGTCTAGTTTGACTTCCCTTCCCTACCCTTGAACTATGGGCTGGAATAAACTCCCTCAAGTTGCCTTTTCAGGGTATTTTATTATAGCAACAGAAAAAAAATAAGACACCCCTTCCCAACACACCCCTGCCCCAGGAGCACCCCAAAGCTCAGACCTGAGGATGGGTCCCCAGGAAGTTCAAGAGCAGAGCTTGTTATTTATTGAGTTTGTTCATGGTGCTGGACATCCATGATAGTTGTTGCTCTTCCAACAGACCTCTGAGGCTGGGGTTCATAGCTCTATTTTCCAAAAGGGGATCAGAGACCAGAAATAGTAAGGCCCATCCACCCACACGCTGCGTTCAGGTTAATGGAAGCATCAAGATGAGTAACTAGCAGGTATTCATCCTCCTTGTGGATGCCCTTAGATAAAGTATTTCTCCAAACTTTGATGAGTGACGTTAGGACTGCCATCTTTTCCTGCTGCTGGGGTTGTGGGACTTGCTGAGATGTCCACCCAAAGAACATAGCGTGGAGACTGCTTGGCATCCAGGGTAAATCTGGCATCCCTCAGAGTTCACCGCAGAAGAGGATGGATCCCATGGTAGGCGCCAGCCACACTGCACTGACTGAGCTCCCTGCTTTGGCTACAAGAAGTCATGCTTCCCAGCTCTACTGAGACTCCAGGGACACCTACCCCGTCACCCTCTGAGCATCTCAGAAGTGTCCCTAGAGCTGTCAGCCCTGCTCTGTCAGTGGTAGAGGCACTGCCAGGTCTCAGTGGTCCGAGGGAACTGCCCAGGGTGCTCCAAGATTTTCAGTAAGAAAGGGGAAGCAAGGAGTAAGGCTCTGCTGTGTGACTCCACCCAAGACCCTCCACCTCTCTGTGCTTTCATTTCTTCACAGTGGCAGGAAATCTGCAGACTCTAAAACCCATGGTGTTGTGTTCATTTTCTCCTCCACAAACACTGACTTAGACATTATTCTACAGACAGCAGCAATAAACCACACACACCCTCAAGAACCTTCCTTCCAGCAGCGCCTGGGTCCCCGTGTGTCACATGGATCCATTAGTGAGCATGCGCAGCTTAGCTCAGGGCCTGGCACTCCCTACACACGCACCTTTAAAGGTGGTCTTCCCTTGGAATAAGAATTGGATAAGGAAACAGAGGGAAAGCATTTGGGTCTTTGGATTGTAACTGCACGTGGTGAGATGGCCTATCACAGCAGCCTGTGTCCAAGAAGTGACCAAGGCACAAGAAGTGAAGGGCCAGTCACACTTTAAAGTCTCCTAGACAGGATTTCTGGCTCAGCACATGGTAGGAGCTAGCTTCTTGGTTCTGGGCACTGTCCCTGTACTGAGATATTTCCCACTATCCCTGGCTTCTACCTACTAGGTGGCAATAACATTTCCTCTTCCTACCCACGGTGGCCATCAGAAGTGTCTCCAAACATTGCCAGCTCCCCTGGAGGTCCAAGTGAGCCCCCACTGAGAACTACTGCTCTACTACTCTTCAGGATCTGGTGGGGGGGTAGCATTGGTATAGTATGTACCTAACATACATAAAACCCTGGGTTCGACTCCCAACACATGTAAAATGGATGTGGGTGTGCATGCCTGTAATGTCAGCACTTGGGAGGTAAAGGAGGGAGAAGCAGGGGCTCAAGGTCACCCGTGGTTACACTGTGAGGACAAAGTCATCCTGGGATACAGGATACCCTGTAGACAACACACCAACAGACAATGAACTTGTATTCTAGAGTCTCTGTGATCCATTGTCATCCCCTCCAGAACCCCTGTGATTCACTGTCATCCCCTCCAGAACCCCTGTGATCCACCCTCACCCCCTCCAGAACCCCTGTGATCCACCATCATCCCCTCCAGAACCCCTGTGATCCACCCTCACCCCCTCCAAGACCCCTGTGATCCACCATCATCCCCTACAGAACTCCTGTGATCCACCCTCACCCCCTCCAGAACCCCTGTGATCCACCCTCATCCCCTCTAGAACCCCTATAATCCACTGTCATCCCCTCCAGAACCCCTGTGATCTACCCTCATCCCTTCCAGAATCCATGTGATCCACTCTCACCCCCTCTAGGGTCCCTATGATCTACCCTCATCCCCTCCAAGACCCCTGTGATCCACCCTCACCCCCTCCAGGACCCCTATGATCCACCCTCATCCCCTCCAGAACTCCTGCGATTCACATCATCCCCTTTCCTCCCAATCACTTCCCAAAGGACCTGCCCTGGCTCAGGGAAGCCCCAAACTTGCCAGCCTCTGTCCTCTGCTTCTGGACACTCCTACCAAGAGCTCCTGCCCCACCTCTGCCCCTTTGAAATGTTTTATTTTGTATCATATGAGATTGGCACACAGGTGGAGGTTAGAGGAGAGCTTTGGTTGTGCCTTCCCACCTTTTACCCATCGAGCCCCAAACCGTACCTGTGCCCTTCTGCCACCCTGGAGCACCATTTCTGTGCGACCAGCCCTTATCCTAGGAGGCACTCACTCCATCTTAAAGTAACTGTAGCAAGGGTCTGGCCTTCTTTGCTTCCTGTCTCAGACAGTCCCCCAAACCTCCCCCTGCT